CAATAAACTTTCAGAATTTTGTTTCTTTTCCAAAGATGATTGTCAAATACAGACGTATGGCTTTTTCAAGAGATGCTAATAAGTTATAATGTTTTAATTGTACAACTAAATTAGCTTAAAAATAGTCTTATAGAAATTACTTTTGTAGTAGATACTTCCTTAATTTGCTCTCAGCAGTGAGAAGAACTTCCACCTAAACTCCAGTGTAGATCCACTTATTAAACATCATTCAATTCTGCCACCTCTGCAGCTGGTTTCTTAGCAGTCGATGGTTTCTGGTTTTTCCAGAAAGTCAGTGCTGTCTTTCATAGTAGGATCATTGAGTCAGTACTGGCTCAAAAGAAAATAATATGGATATTTTATGCAATTTTACTTATTTCATTTAAGGAGGAATTTAAACGTATCTACTTTCAAAATAGGCATGTTTAACCCTACAAAAATCTTTGTCATACAGTTTTATGTAATCTTTTTATTACTCACTTAAAAATTCTCATCTATTATCAATTTTCAAACAAATTAGTGTTCTTCCTTTAAAGATTGTTTCTTCTGGGTGAAAAACGATGTAACATTTAACAAGTAGTCTATAATTACTCTTGTCACACATTTGAAGTTACAAGTAAGATAACCCTATAAAGCAAATCCAACTGTCTTTATTTTTTCATAAAGATATGTATCAATTTTTAATGAAGGAAAGGTTGCAGTGCCAAATTAGGGTACTGAGTTCAAGTACACTTAAGTAATCACCCTTTTATTAGTTTTTTTCTATCTTTGTGAAACTAGCAGAAAGTTCACTATAATTTATCTCAGCGGATTTAATCCCTCCCTCTATAAGAAGAAGGAAAGAAGCCTAAGAAACAAAATTGTTTTAAATTCACTTTTGCCACTGTTATTTCAGGGCCATTTTATCCATCAATCACTATGCTTAGGATTTATATAGTTCTCAAGGTCTTTTGAAAATGTTGGGGATCTAAGAAAAAAAGTTGACTTCAAAATATGAAAAGTTGCAAAAAAAACTAACGTCTACAAAACATACTATCATGTCATTTTTAAACTCAATTTTTAGTCATGTATATTTTATGTGATGTGGATGTATTTTCATGTGTTTAATATTATTTGGGGTTGGAGGTCTTCAAACCAAGTTTTTAAAATGGCCTTAATCTTTACAATTTTTTTTGAGACAGGGTCTTACTCTGTTACTAGGGCTGGAATGCAGTGGTGTGACCATGGCTCTGCAGCCTCGAACTCCTGAGCTCAAGTGATACTCTTGCTTCAGCCTCCCACATAGCTGGGACTACAGGCACGCACCACGCCTAGCTAATTTAATTTTTTTTGGTAGAGACAGAGTCTCTTTCTTGCCCAGGCTGGGCCTCCCAAAGTGCTGGGACTAAAGGTGTAAGGCATGGCACTTGGCCCTTAATCTCTTTTATGAGAGAAAGTAGTACCACATAACATTTCAAATAGTACTTGCAGGCAAGTGTTTTAAACATTCCACTGTAAAATGTATATTTTTGTGTTCCTTGCCCTCAAAACAAAAATGTAAATAAGCTAAAAAAATTTTTTGGAAAAATATTGCATGCATATAAATCCCCCTTTCAAAACAAACAAAAAAGGCATCAGGAGACAAATACATGTTATGTCAATCAGTAATCTTTATTTTTCTTCATTAGTGGTTATATATTGCTTTAAAAAAACATTTTTAAGGATGAAAAAAGTTCAGTCATATGCTGTAACCATTGATATACACATTCAAAAACAATTTAAATGAAGGTTTTATGTATTATTACTGTGATATTGGTGTGTGGGGTGGGTGAGATCTATGACATGTTCCAGTGAGAAGATACTATTAGTATACTTCCAATAGGAAGAATGGCCCAACAGAACTTGGGAGATGTTTTCTCCAGACTACATATTATACTAGAAGAAAAAAAAAAAAAGGTAGAGGGAGGACAGGAAGGGGAGGGAGGAAGTGGGAGGGAAGGGGAGAGAGAGGGAGAGGAATGGGGAGGGGGAGGGAGAGAGAGAAAACAATAATTTGTTAAAGAATTTGGATAAATAAAATCTTTTTTTATATATAATTGACAATAATTTAGTAAATAAAATACTTTTCAGTACATATTATTGACATGAATTGCTGATTCATTTATAGGAATTAATCTTTAACAGTTAAAGCTCATTGTCTTGTAAAAATCTACTTGGGGTTCACAAAGGTCTTAAAAAATGCTGGTAGAAATATTTATTAACATTATTAAGGTACTTACTCTATCAACAATTTTTCTTAATTTCACTGAAGTACTATATAAACACATATATTTAGTATTTTGAATCAATTTCCCTGGTATTCCATCTCTTAAAATCCATTAAAATCAGAATTTTAGAATTGAGATCATTCAGGTCTTTTTATCCTTGACTTACAAATTGAGTTTTCTTCTACCTCCAAAAGGTTTAAGTCTGAAGTGTTACCTACGGAGCTTATTTGACTTTCTAAACCTAGTCATAGTTAGCACCAATATCTCCCAAACACTCTTAAGTGTTACCTTAGAAGGTTGTATGATCTCCACTGTATTTAAGATAGTTGATTCTAACAGAAAAAATTTTTTCTGTATTCATCTAGAGCTCACTTTAAGCCCTCAAAAGAAATTCCTTGTTTCTAGATGCATTCAGAATTATAAAGTAGCAGAACTCATTTTTTTGAGCAGAAAATCAATGTTATCTATTGTATGTCACACTTACATATTTGAAAATTTGCCAAGAATTTACTATTTATCCTTTCTCTGCAGGGTTGAACAAAAATATTACAGAAAACGTGGACTAATGAGGTAGATAATATAGTAACAAAAATTCTATTAATGATTTATAGTGTTTGGGGGCAGGTATTACTGGCATATAATAAATATATAATGTGTATTAATTACAATGTTGAAAAATGTAAACACCTGCATAAAACAAGATCTAGACTAGAACTCTCTAGAACTTCTGAGATAATAGAAGTGTTCTGTATTTGCACTGTCCAACTTAGCAGGCAGTAGAGACTAGAACTCTCTAGAACTTCTGAGATAATAGAAGTGTTCTGTATTTGCACTGTCCAACTTAGCAGGCAGTAGCCACATGTGGCTATTGAACACTTAAAATGTAGCTAGTGTGACTGTGGAACTGAATTTTAAATTTAAGTATTAATTAATATTTAGATTTTAATAGCTACATGTCATTAGTGCAGCTTAGACAGTGCAGAACATTTTCATCATCCTATCACGTTCCCTCATAATCCTTTCCACTAAAATCCCAACCTACTGCCTCTGCCATAAAAAGACACTAAACATAGATTACTTTTTCCTGGTCTTAAATTTTATATAAATGGACTCATATGCTATGAGTCTGGCTTCTTTTGCCAAATGCAATGTTTTTGAGATTTATCTGTGTTGTATCAGCAGTCCTTTCCTTTGACTTGCTCAGTGGTACTCCATTGTATGACTGTATCACAATTTGTTTTACTCTTTCTTTTACTTCTTTAAGACAAGGTCTTGCTCTCACCCAGGCTGAAGTACAGTGGAGTGATCATGGCTCACTGCAAACTTGAACTCCTGGATTCATGCAATCCTCTTGCTTCAGTCTCCCAAGTAGCTGGGACTCCAGGCATGTGCCAACATGCTCAGCTAAGCTTTAAATTTTTTTGTAAAGACAGGGTCTCGCTATGTTGCTCAGGCTGGTCTCAAACTCCTGGCCTCAAGTGATCCTCATGGCTTAGCCTCCCAGAGTGTTGGAATTACAGGTGTTAGTCCTTGTGCTGGGCCCACAGTTTTCCCATCCTCCTATTGATACACATTTGAATTGTTTCCAGACTATTTCTTTTTTTGAGACGGAGTTTTGCTCTTGTTGGCCAGGCTGGAGTGCAATGGTGTGATCTCGGCTCACCGCAACCTCCGCCTCCCAGGTTCAAGTGATTCTCCTGCCTCAGCCTCCCAAGTAGCTGTGATTACAGGTATGTGCCACTACACCCGGCTAATTTTGTATTGTTAGTAGAGATGGGGTTTCTCCATGTTGGTCAGGCTGGTCTTAAATTCCCGACCTCAGGTGATCCACTTGCCTCGGCCTCCCAGTGTTGAGACTACAGGCGTGAGTCACCGCGCCTGGCCCCAGGCTATTTCTTTTAAAGCTGCATGTGTACATCAAAAGGTAATTTACTTTGGTGTTAAGCAAAGGTAGTCAACTTATGGTTCTATTATCATCTTTCTGTGTTGGAGTAAAAATGTAATTCCAAGACACACAGATGCACACAAACGTGTGTACACATGGGCATACACACTCTACACACACTCTTCAGAACTGCTGGAGTAATCAGCTGGTTTGTATTACTTAAAGAAAACAAAGAAAGACAAATCTAGAAGAAAATATTATTGCACTGTTTTCCAAACCAAAACATACTTTAGGTGGGGATAGGTAGGCTTGAGGGTGCTCCAGAGAATGGTGGCAAATTATGTTCAGTTTTGAATTATCTCGGCCCCTATCACTCTCTGTCATTTTTTAATAATTATCACATATCCACAGAATTTCAGATCTAGTAAAGGCAATTAGTAATCCAGTAATATAATTATCCAGTATTCTACATAAGTGCTCAATAAATACTGGTAGAAATGAAACAATACATTTTATATAAGAGAATCCATGACTCTACACATCTCTCTCTCAATTGAAGAAAATAGGGTATAATCAAATGAAAAAATTTACAACAGGTATGATTTCTTTCTTATAAAGATTCATCACAAATTCAACAATAAGATGCCACAGACTATATTAGTTTTCAAAACTCTGATATTTTTCAGAAGCAAGCCTATCACATAGCAGTATTTTATCTTTTCATATGCATCCTTTCTTTTTTAAAGTATTAATAATGAAAAAACTTATTAAGTCCTTGAATATGCAGTGGATATGAATAGGCAAAAACACCCTAATAGATAATACAGAAAAGAAAATGTACCACTACAAATGTGTTAAAAGTAACTTACGAAATGCACAATCTATATATATAATCAGGGCTTCAGATTTTTCTTCAAGTAGTTCAGATACAAATGTGTTATTCCCTGTCTCTTCCAATCATTCTGATCGGAGAGAAAGAAAAGAATCCAAAGTTAAAACACAACATTCTAAATTAATAGATAATGTTGAACATTTTACATTCAGGAACTATGTCTGCCCCACTTTAGCTTGGTTATGTACCTTTTTTTTATCGATCACACAGTGTGTTTTGTACTATAATAGGTGATAACTGTTAGAGTGGTCCAATACTGGGTCTTTTCTGTGACCTCTTAGCAAATAATTTATTTCTGAAACATACATGCAACATATGTGAAGATGCATCTATGCAGCTTTAAAAAATCGTTAAAAAAAATCCTACAAGCAATGACCATGGGTTAAAAGGTTTCTGGGTTCTTTTGTAACTAATTAACAGTATTAAACAATACATGCATGTAAAATCCGTATTTTCGATTCTATAGCTTGAATTGGTATCTTGCTTATTTGATTCAGTGTGGTGGTGTATTTGTACGTTTTCACACTGCTATAAAGAACTACCTGAGACTGGGTAATTTATGAAGAAAAGAGGTTTAACTGACTCACAGTTCTGCAGGCTTAAGAGTAAGCATGACTGGGAGGCCTCAGGGAAACTTACGATCATGGCGGAAGGTGAAAGGTACAAGGACTTTCTTCACATTGTGGCAGGTGAGAGAAGGGTAGTGATAAATACTTTTAAACAACCAGATCTCTTGAGAACTCATTCATGAAACAGCACTAGTGGGATGGTGCTAAACCATCAGAAATTGCCCCCAGGACCCAATTATCTCCCACGGGGCCCCTCCTTCAACACATGCAGATTACGATTTGACATGAGAGCTGAGATACAAAGCCAAACCCTATCAGGCAGGAACACTGAACATTTCAAATATTAACCTCAATATGGTTAGAATTGTATCATCATCAAGTATCCTAAAACATGGGAAAATATTTTAAATTCTAAATTTTCAAGAATTAACTTCAGGAAATGTATCTATTCCTAACTCTGGAAAAGATCAAACCTATAAGGCATTTAAAAAAAAAATTAAGCAGCTTAAAACTAATTTTATAATGTTCTAGCACAAGGGTTGCACTTATTTTTTTAATAGTCCCTCACAGCACCTATTTATACTCTTGAGATACAGTTTTGCACAAGCTTCACTATATGGTTTTCTTGCCTGTAGATTAAGAGTAGTAAATTAAAAGGGTGGTGAGGATAATAGAACTATGTTCACTGACAGCAGTAAAAAGCAACAGCTGACAATGAAAGAAGGGAAAGGCAAACTGTAACAGACAATGGAACTTAAAAAACAAAGCGATTCAGAGAGCCATGTAGTGTGAGCATACAGCCCTACACACCATTACAGGAATGAGGACTTTATCAGTAAATGTAATAAAGTGAATATTCATAAGGACTACCAGTTTTCATAAAGCTGGAATATGTACCTCATTTCCCATCTGTATGTAAAATGGGACCCACATTGGTCACCACAGTCATTTCTCTGACTAGAAACCCTTACTACCACAGTGGGTCAGGAAACCTTTTAGCTTTAGCACTAGGCTCACCACTGTTCACTACTGCACCACATTATTATTGTAAGAACATCTCTAACTCGTGAGATTATCAAAGGCAACAATATTACTTTTTAAAATGTACCCAAAGTAGCTGGTTCCCAAAACACGGTAACTTTGTATTCCATGGCACACAGTCATAAACTAAAACCACGGACTTTTAGGACTCTGTGCCTGTTTTTCCTCAAATGCGAGTATTACCTAGCACTGGTGTTGTTGGGATTACATGGGATAATGTATGTAAAACACTTCGTACCAGTTCTGGGAAACAGAATGAGCTCAGTATGCGCTGGTGAACTCATGCCGGCCCAAATCCCTTATTTGCAGGTGCAAAAATTAAGCCTCAAGAGGAGAACTGACTTCCTAACGCTCTACTTCTAATATGTCATTGTCTTGGATAAGCAGCTTAGTGGCAAATGTTGGGAGATTTTGGGTATTGGCAGGGCCTGGGGGCATGTGCCTGCTGGACTCGAGTCTGCAGAGAACTGGAGGAGTCTGTTCGAACCATGAGGCATTAGACGCTGTGCCTTATCAACGCGTTTGAGATGGCAGGTTATGTTAACAACATTCAACACAGACGGAAGCCATTCGTCTATCTCAATTCAGCCGGAAATAGCAAGACCCTCAGCTACAGTAGGCTGAGTAAGTGGGGCTGAGGGCAAGGTAGGTAACAGGATCCAGGCTTGAGCTCAAGCCCCGGTTCAGTCTTTAAAAAGGGATGAGCACGTAAGGGCTTAAACTAACAAAACTAGAAACTAACAGGATGGTGTCGCAGGCAGGTGTAAGTTACCCCGCCCCTCTACGCCCTCCGTCGAGGAGACTCGCCAAATGCGTTTTCTCAGCCTACGGGCAGGGCAATTTCTTGCTCTCTACAGGCAATTACTCCCAGCCCTGTAAGCAGGGAGTGATGACCTCGCCTTTTCGTTCTGGAGTGAGGGCCGGACACGCTTGGACCTCACCTCTCCGCGCCACTCTGCGGCTGGGCCGCGGGAGGCCGGCTCGCGCCCACGCGCACCCCACGCTCGCCTTCTCTAAGATGGCGGCAGAGGCTGCTCGCTCACGCCCCGCCGCCCGCGCTCCTCCAAGTCGTGCCCTCAGGAGGCGGGAGTGGGTCAGAGCGCGGAAAGCAAGAGGGCGAGAGTGACGCGGATCCTCCAGTCCAGCTCAGGCCGCGGAGCCCTGAAGCGTCCAGGAAAGCGAAAAGCCAGCAGGCTGACGCGACCAAGAACACCGCTGGCACCTCAGAAACGAAAAAAACGGCGGCACATCCGGGCCCCTCTGCCCGCCCCGCCCCGGAAGTAACGTATCGGGCAGGGGCGGGGGTTGCTCTTCAAAGTGGATTCTTCCTTAGCCATAGCTCGTTTTTCCACAAAGTGCCTGGAATCACCCTCGCCACCCCCTCCCTCGGGTTAGCCGTTACTCTCTCGTGGCTCCGGGACGTCTCTGCACAAAGCTGGCTGCCGGGAAAGGCAGCCCTCGTTTCACAGATAGTAATCCTCGCACCGCGACTCTAAATTCTCCTGGGCTTCGCCAGCGCGTGTAGTAACGTCCCTCTGAGAGGACTCTTGGTGACCTCAGCCCCAACCAAGCATAGGCGCACCTCTTCGGAGTCCTGTGTTGGAATCCCGGCCTCGTGCCCCGTCACCCCGCCACCCCACCACCCCGCCCGGCTTTGGGGACCGTCAGTCACAGCGCTGCTCCCTCCCCTTCCGGCGGCTTGGCCGGGCCCGCCTCCTCCCCTCTTCCCTCCCCCACCCCTCCCCGTGCGAGTGTCTCCCTCTCCCTCTCGCTCTCTCTCTCCCTCTCTCTCTCTCTTTTGTGAGTTATAGCAACCGTTGCCTTGTGAATCAAGCGCCATAGTCACCGTAGTCCTGGCGACTGTTACCCATCAACAACAACTACTCCTCTCCTCCTCCTCCTCCTCTTCCTCCTCCTCCTCCCCACCACCACCATCTCCATCACCCACCAACAACACCACAATAATCCACAGCCAAGGTGAATATTCTTCGGTCTCTACATGTGTGTGGGAGCGTGTGGCTGCGTGTGAACGCGTGTGTCCGTGCGTGTGTGTGTTCGTGTGTGCGAGCCGAGTGTGGCTGTGCAGGGGTCTCACTCCTGACACGGGGGCTGCCGCTGCGGCGCCGCCGCCGAGGGGCTCTGTTCCCCGGGCTTGTTTACAATGGACCCTGCGCGCCGCGGCTGGGTCGGGGGTGTGGGCGCCGCGCCGCCCGCCGGCCCCGGCCCTGCGCCGGCCGCACTTCAGGGATGGAGCGGGAGATTGGGGGGCTGCGAGCCGAGCGGGAGAGGGAGCCACAGTTTTCCGATGCGGATGCCGGATCTTTCCCTTAGGTCTGGTATGAGGAGAAGGGTCAGGTGAAGAGATAAGAATTTGTTCTTTCTTTAATTTTCTTCTCTTCTAACGCTGCTTGTTTCCTGCTTCTTTCAAAGCCAAAATAGACAACAGTGTGCAGGGGGGGGGACCCAAGAGGTGGTGTTTTGTTGTTGTTGTTGTTCACTTGTGGGGCCTTGTTATGGGTTTTGTTATTTTTATCCTCGTACGTTGGTGAACTTTTCCCACCGCCTATTCCCTTCATTTTTGCCCCTCTTTGCTTGGTGCTGAATGGGCTGCTCTTCTTTCACCATCATCAGCTTCACGGTTTTCCGTTTTCTTTTTAAAACTGTGTTTTCTTTGTGCGGCAAACAGTCTTAATATCCATTCCGCACTCTTCCCTCCCCCTCTTTCTACTCCCCCACCCCCCCATACCCCTTGCACACACATGGAAACCTGGGGCCTCTTCGTTGGGCTCCCTTTGCTGTACTGGGAAAGAGATTTTTCTTTTTTAAAGTCTGTCTCCTCTCTCTTCTTTGGAGTGTGTGTGTGTGTGTGTGTGTGTGTGTGCTTGTGATTTAAACCGGATGCACGGCATCTGTGATACTTGGGTTAGTAGTTATTGACAGTGCTTTATCCTTCATGTGGAGGTGGGAGGGGTAGTAGTGAGGTTCCCTTTCACTTTGATGATCCTCTTTCTCCGCAGTAGAGTGTTAACAATTTTCATTGTGGTTATGAGACTTTGTGATGAACAGGGAAGGGACACAAGGAAGCTTTGTGAGAACTCAGTTCACAATGTTATTTGTGACAGTTATGGTACTTTAAGAGTTTTTTTTTTTTTTTTAATCTACTCTGTTCATTTTCCTTTGAGAGTTGAAATTGAAGTCAAGTTCATAAAGAATGTATGAAGCTTCTCAACTTGAAACGTGTGTATATTTCACTTTCTTTGTGGTTAAGATCTAGGCATGTTTGTACTTAACATATTCTTTTTATTTACTTTTTGATTTTCTTTGGACAGTGACTTGAACCTGCTCAGGAGAGAGAACTTTCTCCTTTTTAAGTATTTCTTTTAAAAATTACATTTCTCTGTAGATTTGAATACTTATTAGTCCTTATGTAGTAGGTTCTTGGTTAGCGTTAACCCAGTTTTACAGATCCCCTAAATTTGTTCATTTTTTTCAGCTTAACTTTTAGTTAATAGATTTATCAATAAAGAGTTTTGAAAATGAATGTGTGCTAAAACAAATATAACGTACTATTATAGTTGCACATATTGAAGTTTTTAATTTACAGTTTTAAAATGCTTATTCAAATAGTCTTCTAACAGCAAACATATATTGATTTAACTGACAGCAGCTTGTGAATAATGTGACAGTACTAATTATTCTTGAGATTGTCAATGAGCAGGGTAGGTAATTATAATGCTATTAAGGCTAATATTTTGTAAACTAAGAGTTGAGATTAAAAAAAAACTTCAGTTCATTTCCTTGCGATTGCTATTTTAAATGAAGACGATATTTTGTTCTGAAAGAAATCTTTCTCAGAGCACTCAGAATTCTTTATAATTATTCCTCCCCTCCCCAAACTGGGTTCCATGCAAATCTCTAATACTAACTTGTACTTTTTTTTGTTCAGATTGAGTGTCAAATGCCTGAACACTTTTGGATGATGAAGCTCCTGGGTCCTATAAACTCTCTGAAGTTAATAGGAGTTTTGCTGTCTTGGGACAGTTTCAGACCTTATGCCATTTACATAATAGGTTTTCAGTTAAGTAAATTATATGCTGGAATGTTACAATTTAATATTTGCAGTGTCTGAGAACTTTTTTGAGGCATTTCACTCATGTATAGTTCAGGTTTTCTGTGATTTAGATTTTCATTCACAAGTTGATTTGAGAGCAGAACTTAAATTGAATTTCATTACTTTTCCATTTTTTGAAGCATATATGTGGAATAAAATTGCTATTAGAGCTGCTGTGGAATTGCTTAAATAATCAGAAACACTAAGAAATGGTAAATTTAAAAATTAAACCCAAGAGTAGATACTTAGCTTTTACTTTATTCTTTCTTAATATTTTTCCTAGAAGGGACTATATTACATATTGATACTTTCTTGTGTTTTTAGTTTTTATACTAATAGAAGTTTGTAAAAGTGATCATGCTTTGAAACTAAAACTATTAAGCAGAAGTCACTTGTAACTTGTTTTGAATAGTTAAATGTCTGTGATTCAATGTATGCCATAATGCCTCAGTCTTTTTGGTTTGTTTTGCCTGTGAATTATATTAAATGGTGTCGGCATCACACGTATACACATGTTTGGCAAACTAATGAATTTCTAGAAATTTTGCATCGTTTCACAATGTTTTCATTAAATGTTGTAGTGGTGCTTAGTTTTTCTGTATTATTTCTCCAGTACTCAAATAGTCTTGTACTCTACTTTGGTACTCAAATAAAAGGTTATAGTTTATAAGCTTAATATGCTTTAACCCGGAACAGTGTATTTTACCTAAACAAATTTATTATGGTGATTTTTTTACCGTTAAAAATAGCAATTAAAAAATGAATGAATCTTAAAAGCAAGTTGGATTTTATGCATCGTTTAAATGATAATATATTGGTAACGTTTTTCATTTCTTGAGAAAGTTGATATTGTGTTGGTATTCTCCAGCTGAAGAAATTAGCAGGTAGAATATAATGATTTTTGGTTTTCAGATTTTAAAGTGTGGGTTTATTTGTGTGTGTGTTTGTGTTTAAATGGGTGGGCATAGCAGAAGATATGTGGCAAGAGTTACACACACACACACACACACACACAAACACACTTTTCCAGAACACTAATAGGAATGTTACTTTGTTCTTAGTATTCATAGTGAGAATGTGTTACAAGAAATGAGAATAGGGAAGAAGTAAACTTTAACATTTTGGAGAGGCTCCTGATTATTTTGTTTTTATGCTGAACCATTGGCTAAAAATCCTCTATTTGAGCTTAGTTACTTTAAAAACAGTTTTCATAACTGAATAATTTGCCTTTAACTTTTTGGTATATATTCCCAGTGGCCACCACAAAGTATGTTTTAAATTCCTCTCTATTCAGTTACATAGTGTTCCCATATTTTGGAAATCCAAGATTAAGTGGATTTGATTAAATCTAGCTTGTTAGGGACAGATGGCTGCTTTAAACAGGTGTCACTTTCATTTTTTACTGCATTGTATTGGGACTTCCAGTGGTTGACAAAAGGGCTGTCTAAAGCAGGTGGCATCCTTTGCTTTTGTTGTTAGTAAAATCTACTTTAAGGGTTAATTATTTTCCTAGGAAAAGTTTTTTTTAAATAAAGTATAAGTTTTGAACTACTAAAGATTCATAATTTAACGTAACTTTTATTTCTGAATATTATTCTATTTTTAAGTTGTAGAACTTGCAGATTCTTTCACAAAACACTTATCAATTCTTATAAATAATGGTAAATTCCCTTTGAATCCAGAAAAAGTACACAGGAACATTTTACACACCCAAGTCAAACCCCAGGGCCAATTTGAATAAAGTGAAATTTGGTTAACATGACAAGTTAACTTTTGTTGTCCTTCACTGAAATAATTTTTTGACAGCATTTTTTATATGTTGGAAATAGGTATTGTTTTTGTTGGTTAAATATTTTCAAACTAAGCGTTTTCCTGACTTCATTTACTGCTATAAAGTTTATAGTGATCTTTTAAAATGATAATATTTTTAAGTATTAATGTTCAAAAATATGTACTGCAATAAATAAAAACTATCAACCTATTGATTTCTAAGGTTCACGTTACTGTATAATTCTGTCCTTTTCTGTGGGAATTTTATATTTCTTATAACAGATGCACCAGAGGGTGCTGTGCTGTTTGCAACATGAGATTATTATCACTAAGAATGTGAACTCACTAGAACTTTTATTTAAAGAAAAATTTTTTAATTATATATGCATTGAAGCATATAATAGGCTTATTTTTATGGAGTTTAACGTACGATCTTAATTGGCACTTTTACATCAAAACCTATCTTCGTGTACTAATACATATTACCACAACGTATAACAATATAAAGATTGGTATCTTTGGCACTGTCTGAATGTCAGCATTAGTCCTATGGGCATAATGTTGATTATCTTTTGTAGATATTTTAATCTTTATTTTAAAACTTAGGTTACCCTGAGAATCATACTATTTGGTGATATGTGCCTTTATACTTGTTAAATTTCATATGGTTAGCATATATCAGTAATTGTACATTCTTATAACACTTTACATGGCATAATTAGTGATATACTTTTTATTGTATAATCTTTAACAAAACTGCACTGAAAAA